GATTTTAGGGTCCAGGGTAGGCTAGGGTATCACCAGGGATTTAGATTTTTCTTTACATGGAAGATTTATTGTTGCATATTCTGGAGTCAGGAAGCAGTGGTAACACTAAACAGAAACCTATAAAATATCCTATGCATCATGATTAACCAGAAGATGACAGAGAGCTAGTTCCCCCAGAATTTGTTTTAACCCTATGAAAAGCACTTAATATCTAATATCCTTTTGGAAAGGATCACACAAAGTAAGTCTATTTCAAACACACAGTGCACAGACAGACACACTTTATGAAAGTGAGCTTTAATACAGTGCTATGGAAATACTCTTTAGCTTGATGAAGAACTGATCTCCGGTCTTCTCATTCATCAAGTGTGTGAAGCACATTCCTTTAAAAGTGACATTCAATAAACCAAAGCTCATATTTCCTCACATGCACAGAAACCTGGAGGAAATGGTCCACTAGTGCTTCTGGTTAGTGTTTTGTCTCAATAAAGCTCCACATCAGACTTCTGCTAAAGCACATGCCCAACCTCCCAGAGCCCCACTCTGGTTTCCCCATCAAATATTTTACAGTCCACCTCAGAAACAGCTAACTTAAGCCTGCAGCTCATACCCTCTGTGTTTGGACCCAGATAGACTGGTAGAGCGGCAAGGTGTGACGTGTTTTTACTGTGGTCTGGCTTACAGAATATTATCATTTGAGTGAAACAAAACGATCCAGCAATGAGTATGTTAGGAAATGATATGCATATGCTATACGTTAGATTTCATTTAAAGTTATGGGAACAGCCATAGACATATCATTAATTACATCCTTTATCTAATTTCATTACAGTGTGTGTATTAGGTTGGATGCCTTTTTCTGGCTGAAAATACTTTATTTCACACACTTAACTTCAATCTTGTTTGAACTCCATCTGTTTATTTCTTTCATGGACTTACAGCACAATGAAAGGAGCCAAATTCTATGGGTTCCCCTCTAATCCATGGTCAAATTTCTTCAAAATAGCCATCACAGAAAATTGCACAGACCACAACCTTGTGATGTGGACAGCACATAACCTCAAAGTAAAAGTGCAGATCCGTCCACCATCACAGCAACATACTTTTTTTTAATACAGGGTCTTCTGTGAGGATGAGGCACTGAACTCAGCAGATCAGTGTTATGCATGGAAATAAAAACATGAAACATTAATTGAAAGTTTGATGGGACCTTGTGAAAACTAATGTACACTGAACAAAAATATAAATGCAACACTCTTGTTTTTGCTCCCATTTTTCATGAGATGAACTCAAAGATCTAAAACATTTTCTATATACACAAAATAACCATTTCTCTCAAATATTGTTCACAAATTAGAAAAAATCTGTGATAGTGAGCACTTCTCCTTTGCCGAGATAATCCATCCCACCTCACAGGTGTGGCGTATCAAGATGCTGATTTGACAGCATGATTATTGCACAGGTGTGCCTTAGGCTGGCCACAATAAAAGGCCACTCTGGAACGTGCAGTTTTGCTTTATTGGGGGGGTCTGGGGGGGTCCGAAAACCAGTCAGTATCTGGTGTGAAGGTTAGGGTTAGGGTTAGGGTAATGTTGTGAATCGAGTGGCCTATGGTGGTGGTGGGGTTATGGTATGGGCAGGCGTATGTTATGGACGATGAACACAGGCCAC